AGCCTTTGGCACAGTACATCAAGATCGATACGCTCAGCTTTGTAACTTGGCACATTCCGTGGCGCGTCTCATGGCGAGTCCCCTGGCACGTCGCGCGGCGCGTCCCCTGGCGCGTCCCGTGGCACGTCCATTGGCACGTTCCGTGGCGCGTCCCCCTTGCGTGTCCCCCTGTGTATTACCTCTGGGGCAGCTACTATGTGCTCAGGCCGCTCGAGCTTAAGATCCAGATCAGTTCGATTCAGGACTCGAATGCAAAGGGTGACTCGATCCACAACGCTATAGAGCACAATCCTGGCATGGCACATCGTAATTCAGCGTGGCACAGCACAGCACAGCCTTTTGGCGCGGTGCGTCAAGATCGATACTTTCAGCACTGCAAATGCCCGTCGCCCAATCAGGTGCCTTGAAAACGTTGCCATGCCTTACGTTCCTATATTCCTTTCCAGGTTCGTGGGTCGATCATGCTCCCAGAAAGGGCACAGGCCCAGGGTTCTTTTTTAGTGTGGTAGGCCATGTGCCGGGCCTCGAATTTGTCACCCATTTCGGCAGCTCCTGGGAGAGCCGGCGCAGTGACGTCCTGCGCGCAACAGATCCAGACCTCGCCGTCCCTGCTGGGGGGGTGCTGTGATCTGCGAAACTGTCGCCCATGGCGTGAGCTCAGCGCAGCGACGTCCAAACTGTGGCATATTTCCGTGCTGGCGGGTCGGTCCAAGAGTGCGACTTGTTCGGCGTCCACTGGGGCTCCCGTTTGCATCGGATGTGTTGCAATCAGCACACCGCGGAGCAGCTAGACAGGCACATGCAAGCATCGGCGCTTGAGTGGAAACCAGAGCTTTCCGCCTATCAGGCGGTCTTCTTTGCGCGTCAGGCCCCTCAGAGGGCGCGCGAAGGGGAAAGGCCGCTTCTAGAGCTGGCGATATAACATCCTGATTTCCCCCGGCAGGTTGCCCTTAAGTACCAAAGCAAGCTCAAGGACAGCCCCAATTCCACGAGCATCGAACACCTAGGGTTCCTGAAGGATGCTATGCGGGAAGTCGCCACCCAGCTGGACAGGCTTGCTTCCACGCCTACGGCTGCGACTTCTCTGGAGGACCGCCTTGGAGCTACAACGAAGTTCTTGCAAGCTTCCGAAAAAGGTCGCTCGGGGAAGGTGTCCGCATGTATCACGCGGCACCCGCATCTCAAGGAGCTCGTCGTCAACCCATACGATGTTACGATGTCGAGGGGAACGCCACGCTCCGCCTCCGGAAGGTGAAGGACCACGCCGTCGATCTCGCCCGTGACTATGCCCTCGACGAGTTCGGCAGGACGCACGAGAACTTCCACGAGGGCGACAGGGCGACCCTGCTCGGGCCATCCATCGCCGGCAGAAGTACACGCGGCTCCTTTTCAAATTGGCGCCAGGCCGGTCGGGCTCCGTGAGCGCAGTCATGAACAACCGTGGGGAGGTCTTGATTGACAGCGGCCGCATGGCCACGGAGCTCGGAAAACATTGGGAGGACGTGTTCAGAGCCCGCGGAGTCGACCTAGCTTTATTGAGTCAGTGGATCGGAGATGATCTTGCCCACAGGCCTGATTCTGACCTCTTCCCTTTCCCTGAAGACTTCCGTCTCCGCCGCCGACGTATCAGATTAGCAATGGGTTTGTCGAACAAATCTTCGCACGGGCCTGACGGCTGACCATTCTCAGCATGGCGCCGTCTGGATAGATTGGGCATTGATGTTCTTTATGACGGGTTCACAGATACGGTATCGGAGGACGGGTTGTCCGCATGAGTGAGCTATGTGGTGATTTCAATTGCGTATTCTTCCTATTCCTCCCCTTGAAGGTGTCTGGGTCCCTGGAGGACGGCACGAGCTACTACAAGGTGGATTCGGTCAGCGTTCAACGTCACAAATGCTGATAACCGATTATTGGCGAGCGCCGGCCACTTACTTGTCGAGTCCTGGCTGGCCCCCCGCATCTCGCCCTCCCAGCGCAGGTACATCACCAGCTGGTCCGCGATCGCAAACCTGGTTGACATCGACGAGGCCAAGGACGATGTGGTTGCCGTTTTGTTCTTCGACTTCGTTGCCGCCTTCCCCTCGGTGGAGCAGGATATGATGCACATGTTCTCGAGTCGCTCAGCTGGCCGGATTGGCTCCCCCGCTTCATTCGCATCCTGTACGAAAACAATTGGTGCGACATCGTGCTGGGAGGATCGCTCCACGCCGGCTATTCACTGACACGCGGTATCTGGCAACGGTGTCTTTTGTCACCTTTTCTATTGGTTGTCGCCTCCGACCTTCTTCTCCGACGATTGGAAAGACTGTTTCCGCGGGCATGCACCAGGGCGTACGCAGACGACCTTGCAATGGTGTTCCTTAGCTTCGCGTTGCAGGGCTCTGCAGGAGCTTTTCTCCGAATGTGGAAGGCTGTCTGGCCTGTGCTTGAGCATAAAGAAGACGGTGGTGGTCCCACTGTTCACGGCCCAGACCGCAGAGCTGCGTGCCCAGCTCGCTGCTGAGGTGCCAGCCTTGGGGTGCTTGGCTATTGACAGCAAGGCCAAGTACCTCGGGATGGTATTCGGCCGCGGCTGCGGGACTTCGCCTTGGGAAGACCTCTTCACAAGTATTTCGAGCGTGCACAGATCTGGGGGCGTCTGGGCATCGGGTTCCATCTCACGCTGCAGGCATATGGTAATTGTGTGCCTTCTGTATTGTCGTTCGTGGGTCAATTCGTGGTGCTCCCAGACGAGTCCGCGGCAATCGAGCAGCGGGCATGCAGAGCACTTTCCGAGGTCCGAGTGGATGCATCATGCCAAGCTGCTTGGTCCACCTGAAAGACCTCGCGCTTCTTGCCGACCTGGTCGACTTGCCATCGCGCTGTTTGGCGGCCCGGGCCCGGGCTTTTCAACGCGAAGAATCTGGCCATGGAGGTCTGCGCGTGCGGGAGCGCGCCAAAGCTCTCCGAGTAATGCTCAACCGCTGAGCCCATGATGCCAAGGCACGGGGGCACAGCACCTGGTTCGCGCCCAGCTTTCTCTTCCAGCTCGAGGCTGCTGCAGACCAGCTCCAGCACCAAGAGGGCTTCAAGAACGGTTCATCCTCGCTGCTTGGTGCAGATGGTTCCGCGGCGCAACTTCCGGTTGGCTAACAGAAACGCGCAGCAGCAGTGTTGCGCGCTCGCAAACCCGATGCGTTCTGCCACCTTCGGAAAAAAGCTGGACAAATTGTGGTCGCACGTGTTGCCACGGCACAGGACTGATCGATTTTTTGCGCACAATGGAGGCTCTCTCTAGCACAGTACCGCCACGAGTTCACGCGGCTATTTTGTGGTGTGCCTTTAACGGTTGGACGGCCGCCAAGCGCTTTCAAGGCTGGGGTCGGTCATTTTGGGGTGCGCGCGGGGCGGGGACAGCCTCCAGCATTACGCGTTTTGTGTTGAATTCAATGTTTGCTGCTCGGTGCACGTCGGGCTGCTGACTCCGCCTTGCGAGTACAGGCTGAGCGGTTTTTTGTGCGTGAGCCCACCGCAGACGCATTGCCTGCGCACCTCCTCTCGGAGGGTGCCGCGGCGAACGCCGCAGCACTCCGTGCCATTAGCGCGCACGCGCTGTACACGCGGCATGTTGAGCCGCACTGAAGTTCGAGAGGCGTTCGGGACCTTCGTGCGCAAGTGGGTCCGCGGCTATTCGCGTGCCACCTCGCTAGTTTTCGGTGCCCACCCGCGTCTCAGATTTTATTCGTGTTCTCTCTCACCTCCTATCACTTCCTCTCCTCCTCCCCCCCTTCCCTCCTTGTGTGTTTAAATTGCTGGTGTTCTGGATCGCCTCATGCATTCAATGTTTTTTCCTCGCGTTCCTCTCTGGAGTTTCGCTGGCCTTCCTGGGCATCCCTCCGCGTGGCCGCGTTCTCTCCTCTGGAAGTCCCAACGCATTTTTGTTTTACCCACGCGCCCTCGCCGCGCACCTCGTCTGGATAAAAACCGTGGGCGTTGTTTTGTTCCGAATGTTCTCGCTAGGACGTGCCCGTGTTTTTCCTCCTCCTTGTTCTTCCCTCGTCCTCCCCTCCCGCTCCCCTGGTCCTCCCCCTCGCCCTTCTCGCTGCTGTGCGTGCTCGGTATCGTTGGCCGTTTGGGCATTGGGGGTATTGACACGCAGTGCACTCGTACTCCTTTTTTTCAGACCACGGTTCTCTGCACGAGTTTGCCCATTGCAGGTCGGCGTGTGTGGCGTTCCCTGTTTGCCTGGCGAGTTTTTGATCGCATTGTGGCCGATGCCGCGTAGTCAATGGTTGCGTTCCCTCCTCCTCTTCCTTTTCCGTCGCCATTGTGGCTCAAGGTGCAAGTTGCCGTTGGGAGCGAAGCGGATACTGCTAGTCCGCGGCGGGCAAGATTTCTTGAAGTCTGGATATTCCTGTCGCTCACTTTCCCAGTGCTCCAGAACCCCACGACATGGCGGCGTCCTCCGTGCACCAACTCTCGCCCCAGGACACCGCTGCCGTTGATGTCTGCCCCACGTTCGCCTCGCAGGAGGCCGTGCCTGCCCCCGTCGTGGGCTCGGGCAAGGGTGGCCGCAGCTCTGCTCCTGCTGGTGGTCCCCCTCCTGGTGGTTTCGGCAAGCTTGCGCCCCGCAAGCGAGCGGCTGCTGCCGACGATGGAGAGCAGGAGACCGAAGATGCGTACATGTCCGACGACTACGTGCGCCAAGTATGCATGGATCTCTTCCCGACTTTGCGGGAAGGGGTTAAAAAGGAGCTGGCGGACTCAGTCAAGGCCTGCGTCACCGACCACGTCGCTTCGGCCAACGGCAAGATGCTCGCGTTCGTGGGCCGGCTCCGCAATAAATTAGCTGGACAACCCGCGGCACTTGACCAACATATTCTCGGAGCTGTCCGCGTAATGTTGATGATGCTTCTCGTCGCTTCCAGGAGCAGATTGATGTGTGTATTGGTACGCTGCAGGACCATGGAGGGCGTCTCTCATCTGTGGAGGGAGACTTGGACGAGCTCAAGAAGCAAATGCGCGAGCTGCGTGACCAGCTCGCCCTCGCCGAGGCGCGCCCCCGCGTGCCTTTGGCGGCGGTTCCCCAGGGTTTCGAGAGGGATGTTGAGGCCACGGTGGTCGTCATCATGTGCCAAGCCTCCACCACCAAGCAGCCCGTCGGGGCGGCCTTCACGGAGTGGTTGGCGGAGTTCGGCTTCCCCGAATCCGAGTATGAGATTCCCCCGGTGGGGCTGGCGCCTTGCAAGAAGTTCCTGCTCAAGTTCAGTGGCCTTGTCGCCGTGGCCTCGCGCAAAGTTCTTCGTGTGCTGTCTCGCCTTCGTGTTGATGGTGCGCGGAAGGAATTCCACGTGGACGCCCCAGGCGTTGCTCGTGCGCGAATGCATTTGGGGCCCGACAAAAATCCACGCCAGATCAAGATCGAGGTGTTGCCCCGCCGATGCCGACCGGTTATCGCCGGTGCCCATCCCAACGTCCGTCTCTATAGCGACCGCGACCGAGGCACCCTCTCGGCCGGATGGGACAGGATCGTCGGCGTCGAGGTGGTTGCGGGCGCTGCGCCTGCGACCATCATGTGGGGCCCGACCGCGCTGTTGAAGTACAACCTGCGGAAGGATAACCTTGTGCAGATCACGCGCCACCGCGTGGCGCCACAGGCTGAGCCTCACTGGTGTCTTTGACGTGGCGAAGTTTTTCAAATGTTTTGTTCCTGTGCCTGGTGGTATCATTCCCCCACTACGCGCAGCGACATGGAATGCGAGGGTTCTCTTGCAAGCGGCTGGGGCCAAAGTTGCACTCAAGAGGAGGTGCTTGGAGAAGCTGAACATGTAGAAATGGTTGGACATGTCCACGGGTAATTAAAGGCTATGGTGATGGAGTTTCAATCAAGGGTCCGGCCCGCCTTACGGACAGGGTCTGGTGGAGCGTTGAGGAGGAGTTGTTTACAAGGGAGGTTTATGGGGGAGGTCGAGAGGATGAACAGGAGGAGGGGGCGATGAGGAGGACACGGAACGGTGGGGAAGGACGACGCCCGTATGTTTAGTTGTTGTAATGTTTCGTGGACTCGCTTCGCTTCTCCTCCCGCCCGCTCTTTTTCTCGCCGCGCGCGCGTCCACTTAAGCAGAGGTCGACTTTTGGCTACAAGCCCCTGGACGCAGGCGGGACGGCTCGACGGCTCTCGTCCCCAGGACCATGAATATGCAGCAACAGGCGGAGGCCTTGCGCGTTGTTTGAAGGCTGCTCGGAGGTTCCAGGACCCCGTGGGCAGATGAGTTTTGCCATGGCTGTTTTTGTGAACGGCGGACAGAGATGATGAGGGATGAGGAGGGGAAAAGAGGAATGAATTGCCACGAAAACAACAGCGAGCGTGGTCTCAAATTGGCACTGCATAGAAAGCGCATTCGGAGTGTTCGACCGTAGCTTTGCGGCAATCGCAGGTCTGACCTATGACCGCTTAAGTTTATAAATCAAATATCGGTGCCTGTGCAGATAGGAGTAAAAACTCTGTGCATGGCGACCATATGATGTCTGCTGACCCTCCCCGTCATCTTCCAAGACAGAGATGGTGGTCCGTGCCTCGTGTGCTGTGGCTTACGCTTCCTTCGCTGTATACCCCGTGCGACTTGCTTCAAACATGTCCTGCTATTCGACGCGTCGGTCGTACCCCATGCCTCGCGCGATGTGTTCAGTGCCTTGCCTTTCTTGCCAAGTGTCTCTTTCTGCGTGCCCACCGCCATTGACGGCCCAATACCTAGTGTTTCGTTTTGCGTAAATCGTGTTTCGCGATTCTTTCCATATTGGGAAGGCCTTGCTGCCGGTGCCGCCAACCCTGAAGGGTGACGGCGACGACGACGGCGGCGGCGGTGACGACGACGACGACGACGCTGACGCTCTGGAGCCCTTTTTGACGCTCGAGCCTCTTGGGCTCTGCTGGGGCCAGGGCTGAGGGCGGGGCCTGGGGCCGTGACCAGGGCTTGGGCCAGAGTTGGGGCCAGGGCCGGAGCCGTGGCCGAGGCGGCCACCCCCGCGTCCCCCTTCTCCACAGGGGGGACTGCCCGAAGGGGCGGGTCACAACCTTTGGGACCCCCCCATTGAGACCCCCCCATCGGAATCCCCTTTCCGGCAGGGAAAGGAGCAAAGGGAAGGGTTCCCCTCCGTTTGGCTGGATCGCCTGAGCAGGAGCGGGACGACGACGATGACGACGATTCAAGCGGAAAAGCATCTCACAGACGCCGAAGGGTCGGCGGATTTCCAAGCGGTGTCATGTGACATGTGTCTCTTCTGGCAGTATGTGCTTGCGCAGATGTTCCTTATGCGGTGTGTTGTAATGCGCGGGCGCCACAGACCATGACGCACACTAATATTGTTGAGCTCTTCTCAAGACATCTGATGTCTGGGTATTTATCGGGTACTGAGTGAAATGTTGGTTTCATGAGGTATGCTTCATGTTGTTCTAACATTGCAGCCGTCTTCACGCTGCGCCTGATAGGCAAACACAATGTTGCAAGTGCAGTTGTGTATCGGCGTTGGTGCTAAGTGTCGTATGTCAAGACATGGTGAGTTTGCCCATATGCAAACAGTTCATCCAGATGTATTTGCATTGTTCTGTACCATGAATCCCCCACTGGATACGCATTCGCCCTGAGTGCTGGCGGGTGTTGGGGCCACTGTGACTATACGAATTTGCCATTTTCTGTAGGACCCAGGCACTGTCACTGCGCGGGATGCGCAAAGTCGCATAGCCCCCCAAAAGTTGTCGGGCTCTCAAGGCACGTCTGCACGTGTACATGCCATGGGCCTGCGCGGTCAACACGGTGCCAATCGCGGAATCCTACTTAGCGATGCGGCGTGCCAGCGTTGAGAAAAGATGTGGGCGCGCACGTTGTGTCGTGCAGAAGTTTTTGCATGCGCCGTGTGCGAAGGTGCTCGATATCCCGACCCTGTCGCTGGCGTAACTTGTGTCGATGCCGTTGCGGCTTGACACGGTGGGTAGAAGCAGTCCCGAAGTTGTTGGGGTATATCTAAAGTCTAAATGTCTGTATCCGACAATCCCCCCACATGTTCTACTTTTTCTCCCGCTCATCCTGCTCTTCCCCCTTTCCCATCTTGCCCCTCCTTTCCGTCTTGCTTCGATCTCCTGCTCCTCCACCTCCATCCTTGCCAGACGGGAAGCCGTCTGTTGTCGGAGCCCCCCCCATTTGATTGCCACCAGTAAATATAAGTGTCGCACCGCGTTACTGTGCTGACTCAAGACAAAACTTGCGAATCGCCTTTAGTACCCACGTCCGAAGCTGACACTGTACTAGAAGCAGAGCCCAATGTGGATTCTTCCCAGCGGTTTGCGAAAACATAGTATCGCAGTTGTCAGCGAATCTGCTCACAGAGTTCTTCCTTGGGGGTCACCTTCTCTCTTCGCCAGATCTGGAGTGGACCATTCCCACCTGTCCGCTTGAGGATACTACTTCATCCACAGTTTCTACGATGTGCCAGGGAAATAATGTGCTTTCACGAAGTGTGGCAGAGGCATCAGGTTATCACCCTGACAGTCCTCACAGGTCCAGAAAGTGAAGCAGCGGCATGATAGCATCATCAATATTGGTTCTCGGGGCCGTGTGGCATGGGCACGGTCTCCTTATCAGTCCAGCAGGTGCGTCAGATTCTGACCCTTCAGGCCTCCCAGGTCCAGAAAGTGTAAGAGATCTGTGATAGTCTTGACGCTTTGCAGATCCCTACCGCCCCATCCAGAAGCGATGCCCAGGGAAGTTGTCTGGTGGAGGGGCGTGGGTAAGCATGTAGTGAGATGATGAGGCCAGGAATTATGGAATTTGACATGGGGGAGCCTCTTGGAGCCATCGTAGTTTACAATGGATTGTCGTCGGAGGTTCGGGGGTGAGATCGAAGTGAAACGTGAGGTGCCCCAACCAGGAACTGGTTTCGTTTCGCGCGTGTCGTGCGTGCGGGTCAAGCGAGGCGAGGCGAAGTTCCGCGAGGTCTTACCCTCGTAGATGTGGCCAAATCAAACCAACATGAGTCGCCTCCTCGGTCCAGGCTGTGGCTCCTGGGTTGCCCCAGTTGTCTCGATGGTTGTCCCAATGGTTGTCCCGATGGTTGTCCCGACGGTTGTCCCGATGGTTGTCCCGATGTTTGTTCCGATGGTTGGCCTCAGAGGTTGTCCCGATGATTGTCTCTCGATGGTTGTCCCGATGGATGTTCCGATGATTGTCTCAATGCGTGTCCCGACGGTTGCCCCGATGGTTGCCCCCGATGGTTGCCCCGATGGTTGTCCCGATGAGTGTTCCAAGTGTTGTCCCGATGATTGGATGATTGTCCTGATGATTGTACCGATGGTTGTCTCGATGAGTTTCCCGATGATTGTCCCGACGGTTGTTTCGATGATTGTCTCGATGTTTCCCCCCGATGGTTGTCCATATGGTTGTCCGTTGGTTGTCCATATGATTGTCCCGATGAGTGTCCATATGGTTAGTCCCATGGTTGTCCCGATGGTTGCCCCCGATGGTTGTCCCGATGGATGTCCCGATGGTTCTCCCTGATGGTTGTCCCGATGGTTGCCCCGATGATTGTCCCGATGATTGTCTCGATGGTTTTCCCGATGGCTGTCAGGATCAGTGTCCCGATCGTTGTCCCGATGGTTGTCCCGATGGTTGCCCCCGATGGTTGCCCTGATAGTTCCCTCAGTGAGTGTTCCGATGATTGTCCCGGTGGTTGTCCCGGTGGTTGTCTCGATGGTATTCCCGATGGTTGTCCCGATAATCGTCCCGATCAGTGTCCCCATGGTAGTCCTGATTGGCGCCCCCGAGCGTTCTCCCGATGGTTGGAGCCTTTTTGCCTTTTCCCGGGGATAGCGGCCGTCACCGGCCTCGCTTCCCCCCCCCCCCTCAGAAAACGTCACGTTCCGCCCTGGCGGCTTCCAGGAATCTCTGGGGATGACCGAGGTCAATTATGAGCAGCATGTAGGTGGCGATCTGCACCCCAGCGCCTGTCTACACCACAGTACTCGCGTGCACCGCAGCGCGCGCGTACACCACAGCGCCTGTGTACACCGCAATAGCCGTGTGCAACACAGCGCCTGTGTACACCACAGCGCCAGCTTGCACCAGAGCGCCTGTGCACACCACAGCGAATGTGTACACCACAGCAACCATGTGCAACACAGCGCCTGTGTACAGCACAATGTTTGCGTGCACCGCAGTGTCTATGCACACCACGGCGCCTGTGTATACCATAGCATCCGCGTGCAACGCAGCGTTGGTGTACACCACAGCGCCTGCGTGCACAGGACAGGTAGAAGGGGCGTGTCGGTGAGGATTTGATGTTCCCTCCTCGCTCCTCCTCTTCTCCTCCTCATCCTCATCCTCATCCTTCTCCTCGTCCTCCTCGTCCTCCCTCACCCTTCCCCCCCGTCTTGCGGGTCGGCGCTACAGCGCACGTGCGCATCTCAGTGTGCACCGCAGAAGGGTCTGCTGAATCAGTTTACTTGTTTCTCGGACGGCCAGGCCAATTTTGCGGGAGCCTTCTGGACGCAGATGGGAGGAGGTAGGACGATGCGGGAGGATTCGGGAGGATTCGTAGATTCCAGCGGCGCTCCTTTTTCCATAAGGATTCCTTTCGAAATCCTATGTAAAGCATGTGTTTACTGTGGAATCCACAGGCGCTCCATTTTGTCAGAAGGATTCCGAGTCAAATTCTATGTGCAACAATGGTGCTCTGTTGCACACGGTGGCTGTGGTGCACACAGGCGTTGTGGTGTACACAGGCGCTGTGGTGCACGCAGGCACTGATGTACACTGGTGCTGTGCTGCACACGGCTGCCGTGGTGTACGCAGGCGTTGTGGTGTACACGCGCGTTGTGGTGCACGCAGGCACTGTGGTGCACGCTGGCGCTGTGTTGCACGCGGCTGCTGTGGTGTACATGGGCGGCGTGATGTACCGAGGCGCTGTGGTGCACGCAGGCATTGTGGTGTACACAGGCGCTGTGGTACAGATCGCCACCTACATGTTGCTGCTCCCCGTCCTCGGTCATTCCTAGGCATTCCCAGACGCCGCCTGCACGAAACGTTACGTCATCGGCCCCCTCCCCCTCCCCAGATGACGGCCGTAAACGTCTCGGAATAAAAAGAGCATATTCTTGTCCCGACGACTCTTCCGATGGTTGTCCCGATGATTGTCCCGACGATTTCCCCGTTGGTTGTTTGGATGTCTGTCCCGATGGTTGCCCCCGATTGATGTCCCGATGGCTGCTCCCGATGATTGTTCCGATGGTTGTCCAGATGATTGTCCCGACGATTTCCCCGTTGGTTGTTTGGACGGTTGTCCCGATGGTTGCCCCCGATTGATGTCCCGATGAGCGTCCCGATTGTTGTCCCCGATGGTTGTGCCGATGGTTGTCTCTTTTGTTGTCCCGATGGTTGCCCCCGATTGGTGTCCCGATGGTTGTCCCGATGGCTGCTCCCAATACTTGTTCCGATGGTTGCACCCGATGATTGTTCCCGATGCTTGTCTCGATGGTTGTCCCGATGGTTGGCCCGATGATTTGTCCCGATGGTTGTCCAGATCGCTGTCCCGATGATTGTCGTGATGGTTGCCTCGATGGTTGCCCCGATGGTCGTTCCCATGGTTGCCCCGATGGTTGTCCGGATGTTTGTCCCGATGATTGTCTCGCTGGTTGCCCCCGTAGTTGGCCCGATGGTTGTCTATATGGTTGTCCGTTGGTTGCCCATATGGCTCTCCCGATTGTTGACCCGATGAGTGTGTCCGGACGGTTGCTTCGATGATTGTCCCGAAGGTTGTCCCGATGTTTGTCCCGATCGTTGCCCCCCATGGTTTTCCAGATGGTTGGTCCGATGATGGTTCCGATGGTTGCCCCGATGGTTGCCCCGATCATGCCCTGATGACTGCTTCGATGATTTTCCCGATGGTTGTCTCGATTAGTGTCCCGATGGTTTTCCCGATGGTTGCACCCGATGTTTGTCCTGATGACTGTTCCGATGAGTGTCCCGACGTTTGTCCCGATGCTTGTCCCGATGACTGTTCCGATGGTAGTCTCGATGATTGTCCCTATGGTTGTCTCGATGGTTGTTCCTGTTGTTGTCCCGATGGCTGTCCCGATGAGTGACCCCATGGTTGTCTCGATGGTTATCCCGATGGTTGTCCCAATGGTCGTCCCGAAGGGTGTCTCCTATGGGCGCCCCCGATGGTTGTCCCGATGAGTGTCCTGATAGTTGTCTCGGTGATTGCCCAGATGAGTGACCCGACGATTGCCTGGATGAGTGGCCCGATTGTTGTCCCGATGGCTGTCCCGATGATTGACCCGATAGTTGTCTCGATGGTTGTCCTTTTGTTCTTTTGGTTGGTCCTGATGGTTGCTCCGATGGGCGCCCCCGATGGGCACCCCCGATGGTTGTCCCGATGAGTGTCTCAGTAGTTGTCCCGATGTTTGTCCCACTGGCCCGACGGTTGTATCGATGGTTGTCCCGATGGTTGTCCCTATGGTGGTCCAGATGGTTGCCCCCGATGGTTGTTCCGATGGAAGGCTTGATGGTTGACCCTATGGTTGTACGATGAGTGTTCCGATGATTGTCTCCCCCCGATGGCTATCTCGATGGTTCACCCTATGATGTGTCCGTTGGTTGTCCATATGGTTGTCCCGATGGTTGTCCCCACAATTGACTCGATGATTGTCCCGATGGCTGTCCCGATGGTTGTCCCGATGGTTTCCCCCGATGATTGTCCCGATGGTTGGTCCGATGATGAATCCGATGGTTGTCCCGATGATCGGCCCGATGTATGCTTTGATGATTGTCTCGATGATTTTCCCGATGGTTGTCCCGATGAGTGTCCCGATGGTTGT